TGCCTGAGATGGTGAGACAGAGGCTTGTACAACCTGCATGCTCAAAAATGACTCATTGCGGAACAGATGATCAGAAACATGTGGTGGAGGGGAAGATGAGATTGGTGCTTTGTACATGTTGATGAAAGAAGGAACAATGTCAGCCAATGCTGGCTTTTTGGTGGTATCCGGAGGAGATGTGATTGTTGAGGTAGAACTAGAGGTGGCTGTGCACGAGACCAAGGAGTACCGTAGATCAGAGGTTACCAATGGCCCTTCAGTCTGCAAGATACTGCTGTCCAGCAGGCTGGTTGAGCTCGAACAGATGTGATGCTCAGATATGGGATTGACTGGATTGTCACATGCCAGATCAACATGTGTCTACAACATTAGAGATCAATTATGGGTATTGGACATTGGATAGAATACACACGGTGGATTGCACTTGAAAGTCCACACTTGTGGGAGGAATGTAGTGCATTGTGGGGATGGGACTGGGTGTGAAGAGTTGGTTAATTTTGGCTGGGGTCACAGATGGCTGAATATGTTGAGGTGAATTGTGGCCATCAGGTTGCACAGTAACTCCTTCATTGTTGGCATCATGGATAACATTGGTGTCACTGAATGAAGGCAGTTGTTTGTATTGGTTGGCAGGTGGTTGTAACGCATTGAAGGAGACAGCTGGGTATATGGGGTGGGTCAGTGTAGGGGGGGGGGGCTGAGTTTTGTCAGCTTGTCAATGCTTCCTGAGGCAAGGGAAAGAATCTGTAGCAGGAGAGGGGAGGACTCAATTCCATAGTTGGATAGGCATTACAAGATGAGGGCGGTGAAAGGTATGTATGAAGTACAATGGTGTGGTGAAGGACAAACACAACAGTTGTGAGAGCACCATTTGCTCCCATTGGATATGGGGGAATACCAAACAATACCAAAGTATACTGTAATATACCACATCATATGATATCATACCACATCAATTCAAGATAAGAGAAATTATGCTTGGACATATTATGTCCAATGTTTGTGAGTAATGACCCACACCAATGGCTTTGCCTACTGCTGCAGCAATACAGTCAGCTCTTCAATTTAGGGCTGCACTTGCATGAGTAGGGATTCATGTTCAAAGAGGGCTGGAAGGTCACATGGAAGATCAAGCCTACTGGGAGCGAACACAAGCAGGAGTGGTGCGGCTCTTGGGTGTCTTGGGAGAGGTCAGGGAAGGGCTCAGAGTATGAGGTGTACAATGCTGATGGTCATGTTAGGTATGGAAACTACTACCAGAAGAAGAAGCTTATAGTGCTGAAGAACAACTTCATGCCTTGCAATGTGATGTGGAGAAGGGCCTTGAAGCAGAGGATAGGTCAATAATGGCATGGGGTTGTCCAGCAACCTGGGTATCATGTGGGAACTAGGGAGGCTGAAGGAAGTTTGTGATTGACAAAGATTTCTTGACTGCTGCTTTGTGTGTGGTACCTTGCTTGTCAGTTCTTGCAAAGCTGCTTGAGGTCTCTCCAAGAACCCTAAGGTGGCGTATAGTGGACCTGGGACTATGACCCAAGGAAGAACCAGTTTATGTGGCATGCATGGCAGGATCCGGAGTTGTACACATCCAACATGCAACAAGACAATCCCACTTGTCATGGTCTGAGAATGAACTGGATACTGAGGTATCTAGAGTGCTGGATACCTTTCCACATATGGGATGATCTATGGTTCAAGGGTACTTCCTGGCCTTGGGGGTACAGGTACTGCTAAAGAAGATACAAGGATCTCTTCACTGAGTGGCACCACACCATCAATTTGGAGATCAGATTCCTGTGGAATGAAGACATTACAAAGTGGCCAGTCCAAATACTCTATGGCATCTTGATGCAAATCTAGGTGAGCTGATGTACCATTGACACTAGAACCCAAAAGATGCTAATTGATATGAGTAGCAGATGTTTGACATGGAATAGTGTACCATGCATTCATAGATGGTCATTCATGTCTATGTACTGGTATTTGTGCATCTACAAACAACCACAAGGATACAGTGTTCACCATGTTTCGGGATGCATGTACATGGCATGGAACTCCCTCTTGTGTTCATGGAGATCATGGGCTCAAAAACCTTGATGTTGCATCATGGATGATACACAAATGTGGTGTGAACCAGGGGTCATTCATTTGGGGGCAGTGAGTTTTTGATACACTATGCTGGGAGATGGATGCTAACAAATACACTTGCATGTCACCATCAGCTCCATACATAATGTGCACATTGAACAAATGTGGTGAGATGTCACAAAGGATTTTGGCTCCAAATGGAAGAATATTTTCATCCACATGGAGACATACCTTGAGCTGGATATTGCACTGAACAGCCCTATGTGGCTGTTGCATTATCTATTCCTTGCAGATATCAATCGGGATGCAGAACTATGGCAACAAATGTGGAACTTCCACCCATTACAGAGTCGCAAAGGACAGATGAAATCACCAAATGAGAGGTGGATGGTTGGTATGCTGGAGAAGGGCTATCAAGGGCTTCACCACAGTACTCTGTGGAACTGGTCTGGGGACAGCAGGAGGGATATGTTCAGTATTGATTGGCAGGGCCTGCAAGACAAGGCATTGATGTAACATCACGTTGGTGCCCAGCCAACAGGATTCACACAGTTTTGGGTGGATGATGCTGTATGTCCTATGAGCCAAGAAGAGCTGTTCTACTTCAACTCACAAGTTGAGGGGGATAGGTGGGGAATAACGCTGGCAGCTTACTATAGCCAGTGGGAGCGTGCTCTGCAAGTGTACCATGCCATTGAGTATGTGCATCTATTAGGGCCACAGGATATGTAGCTATAGCCTCAAATATGATTATGGTATTCTGCCATATTTTGTAGTAAGATTGAAATGAAGAGGGATTCTGGCAGGGGCAGGCAATTGTGGCAGAAACCATGGAGGCTGAGTAGGCATACCCAAGGAGGGTTGCCTGAGTAGTGCATTTCCAGTACTCCCCTGCTGTATGGCAGTGGAATGATAGGAGGGGAACAAAATAGAGTTTGACAATGGAGTAACAGGAAATGGTAGTATGATGAACTTTTGGACCCCAGTGAGGAGAGAGATGTGGGTAAACATTCTGGTAAAGAGAAGGCCACACAGAGTGTCATGGGGTCCCTCTTGTGCACTACTACATAATGTCAGGAATGATTGGTTGAATACAGTATGAGTACAAGACAGTATGAAAGATATACCATGAAATGGTAATACCAAAGATTACCATACCTGTACCAAAGAATACAATACTGATCCCAAGTCATGTATACTGGGGAATACTTGTATATACTGTCAGGATGGTACAAATATGGGTTAATACCAATGTTTTGCCTCAGTATAGCTCAGTATGGTACCATATATGTGGGATTGTTGACGGAAGCAAGAGTTTTGTCCCATTTGCTCTGCCATATGCATTCCCCTCCCCTTTTCTCCTTCACTCCTTTACCTTTGCCTGCTGTCACCATTCATGGAGGATGACAAGCAGGAGGTTCAAGGTGATCCACTCTCTCACTCTCTCTGTACAACTCTTTACTGTAATATTACCATTGCATCCTACTCTTGTCTACAGTACTTTGCTACATAAAGTTTCATCAACAAAGGTTATCCAACATACTCGGACCCAACACCGTTCCAGGCATCTCCATCTTCCACTGCATCAGTCAGATGTTGTCATTGCCTCAAAGTCCCTGTTGAACACCAACCTCAGCTTAAAGCAACTTCAGATCATCTCTTTTTCTATCACCTCTACCCACCACAGAACACAGAGTCACCACTGAATTGCTATTCTCAGTCACTTGTACTAGTTGCCATTATTGAAAGACAGTGGTATGGAGTGGCAGCAACCATGGACCTGGAGGTGTCACTACCACTGTCTGGAAAGGTCCTACCAACAAGACTACAAGACTACTCCCATTGTCAAGGATGGTCCTACCAACATCACTCCAACTGTGTTGCATGGTCCTCCCAACATAATCACTCCAGCCACACCATGTCATATGCCACCTGGCCCACCCAGCTACTATGCACATGGTGGCAAAACCACAACCATCATCAATCTCCCTACCACTGGCAACCACAATAATAGCAATAACTACTCCATGAGACCATCATGCACACTAGACAGCAAGTTCAAGGCTTTGCTAGCCACATGTAGGAATGAACTCTGGGAAGCTCAGAGGACTGCCACCAAGGTCAATGCATCTCCAGGCTATGCTGGTTGGCTCTCCTTGCTGAACTTCAATTGCCACAGGCCTGCCCCATGTTGGTGTTGATTACCCTGCCACCATTGTCCACAACAATGTGTAGGAAGGTCACTCATCAGTAGCAGAGCTGCCCTTCCACCTGACACTGGAAGCACCATAATACTTGTCACTCAGTAGCGACAGCAATCATCACAACATCATTACTGCTTCTGGCAGCTGTTGCTAGGCATGTACTTTGGGTGTTCCAATGGCCACCCAGATCGAACTGGTTTTAGTTTGTCCCCACCCCCAATTACTTATGTGTGGATGTGCATTTGTGCACGGTGTGGCAGCAGTACACATGGTCATCGTCCTGTGCTCACCGGAGCCTGTCTTTACCGTCTTCCCTTCTTCCTCCTTCCCCCCTCTCCTTTTTAGCCAAGACAGTGTCACCACGCCCTCTTGGTCACTTATGCCTAATGTTATCTGCTTCCATGTCACACCATCGCCTACAAACACGCGTGCTGCCTGGTTTCCTTCATCCGCTTTTCCCTCTTGCAGATATCCTCCCTGCATGCTGTCTGGCTTCACATGATGGGTACGTCACTCACTCTGTTGTTATCAAGGCCGGATTGCGGTCTGCTGCCTCCCTTCTATCCTTCAACCTCCATGCGAGTCCTCCTCACTGCTACCCTTGGCGCCAACAATCCTTTACATAGCGCCCTGCGTTGCGTCGCGTCTGTTGTAATAGCTCTACACATCTGTATGTAAACGGAAAGTACAGAAATTGATTGCATGGACCTAGCTCGTAGTGTACAATTTCAATTCACATCCGACCTTTGACTTTGCCTAGTCATGAATAACATGAACAACATATCCTCATGTTCCAACCTCCTACTGACCAATCAGTGCCATAACGGCCTCTCCATCCCTGAGGATGCACGGCCCGCCGTAAATGACCTTATCCTCCATCTCGTTTTCCTTTATCCACTCTGCGCAAGCGTCGTCACTCGCCCCAGGCTGGATCCACACAGCCCACACTCCGAGCTCCTTCGCTTCCTTCAACACGGAGAGCGTGACTTTGGCGGGGGTGACGACGCTGACTGAGGTCATTTTGGGGGAAGGGAGGGCGGAGAGGGAAGTGAGAGCGGGGACAGACTCGATGCTGGGTTCTTTGGGATGGATAGGCGTTACGGGCTTCGAGTGGTCAAGGTACCACATGAACACCTGCAGACGGGTGAGCAAGCAAATCAAGCGAGAGTAGGTAGCAGATCGGCCGAATGAAACATACCTTGTTGCCAAACTTGGACTTGTCAGTGCTTGCGCCCACAACGGCAAACGTCTCTGCGCCAAAGAAGTGCTTCTGTACAGCGGTCATCGTGGGGTAGGGTACGTAGGAGTGGTTATTCCGGACTGGGGCGTAGAGGGGGGTTGCGAAGAGTACTCGAGAGGGACGGGGAAGCTGACGGGGCTGAGCGGGTAGGACAGAACGCAGCATGTATTTATACGTTGATAGCGTGCGATTGCCTTGATTAAGCAAAGAAGGTAGTGTGCGCCCCTAACTCTGTTGTAGGGCGGTGACCTTGTCTGCTTACGGAACCCAAGACGATGAGCTGTCTTGCTGGACCCTGCTGCCCATCAGGGACGACAAGAGGACAGTTGATGGCGGTGAGCATGGTGCAGTGTGGGATGAAACGCTGTTGTCAAACATCCATCATCCGGGAAATAGCCTTGAGCCTGTTTAGGCGGTGCTGCTTGACCTTGGCCCGGGATTCGAGGTAGATGGGTTGCGGGTATGATCAGGGATAAGGGACGGAAAGGGCAAGAGTAGAGATGGGGCTAGTCTATCGCTGAGAGGGATGGATGACTGGATAGACAGGATGGGTTGCGGGTAGGATTTGGCGCTGGCTGGGCAGGGGCGAAGATCACAGGTGCTGGATGCGCTGATCAAATGAGCTGACTGCAAACCCGAATGTAGATCAGATGCAGCATATTTGAGTATCAATATTATCTCCAACTCGGTCATAGAGAGACTGAAAACTGAATTATTGGAAGACCACCAAGTAAGCAGAAAGTAAAAGCAACATAATACGCTTCATGCTGCACATGTCCATACTTCGCTCCACGCGCCTCCCCCCATATTGCTCACGTGCCCGATCTGAGTCCCGGCCGGAGATCGCGCCGAGTGACCGAATGGGCTACCCCACCTCGTCGTTGTCAACGTCGACGTCGAGTGCAGCGACGACCATCCCGCTCGCTGCTTGCATTTACATATCAGACTGTATAGGCAGTGAGCAACGAGCATGCCTTGTGGACACGCACACCACCAGCCGGGCTACCCAGAGCTCAACTTTGCTGCCCGTAAGTGCAGTGCTTCGCTGGCCACCTCAGACCAATGCCAAACCTAACCCAACCACGCAGAGCCAAAATGGATCAAATCCATCAACTCTGGCCGCCTGGACCAATTTGTCGGCGGTGCATTTGCATCTATCAACCTCTCCTCTGCGCTCGTCAAGCACCGTACGGATGACATCAAGCATGTCAAGCTGGAAGTGTGGAGTGCTCCGGGTAGGACCAAGCCTGACTTTGCGGAAGCGGTGAAGCAGACGTTCAAGCCTGCAAAGAAGGGGGATTCTTTTGGACCTTCTTGTGAGTTGCTAAAGGCTCCAGGCGGGGATTTGGGCTGATTTCCCTGCAGGGGTTTGTTGGTCCTCGCTAAGTAGGGAACGATGGCTAATGGATCTCGCAGACCAACCACTGGTTCAGGGTGACGCTTAATGTCCCCAAAGCATGGGCAAACGAAGAGCGCGTCCAATGTCCGTCCTCTGTCTAGTTCCCTGTCTTGTACTGACACCTCTGTAGTCGAGTTCAACCCCAACTGCGAGGTGCTCCACATTCAACGCGACCAGCACGGAAGCTGACGTAGAAGACAGGCAATGATCTGGACAAAAGAAGGTCTCCCTCTGCAAGGTATTACCGGAGGGGATGGCGGAGACCACCGTTGGGACTACATCCTCGATGCCAAGGCGCGCAGCGGGGAGCATATCATCTACATCGAGGTGGGGTTGTCTTTCCTACAGTGTAGGGTTAGCTGATGCGGTGCGGTACGACGAATAGTCGAGCTGCAATGGCATGTTTGGAATTGATGGCATCAACCCGCCAAGCGTGAGTTGTCTTCTCGATATCCTTGAGACGCGTGCTAATGCAGATTATATAGGACAACCGCTACTACTGGGTCTGCGTGCCTCGTTACGTCAATGGGAAGTAGCTGACACCTCCTGCTTGCTTAGCTCAACTCAGCCGACATCGTTGTCCCTAACACCGCCGCCGTCGCGCTGATGCGAGACTTCCAAACGCTCAAAGAGATCCGCACGCACATCACAGCTGAAGTGCATCTCTCGCACCACGCCCAATGGGTCGCGAACGAGATCATGAACGTGTGGCAGCGCGGTGGTGGCGCGAACGCGCTGTTGAGTCAGGAAGAGCTGGGGAAGCTGATTGAACAATGTAGGAAGCTGGCTGAGGAGATCTTTGGCGAGGGCTGGAGGGAGCAGGGGGAGAAAGTGTATGAGGGCAAGGAGTGGCAGGTCTGGGGTATTGGGCACTGTGTGTCCTTCTCTTTGGTGGCTAACATCCTTCGTGTTACTGAGAATTGGCAGGTCACATCGACACCGCCTGGCTCTGGCCATACAGCGTCACCCAGCAAAAGGTTGCACGTTCCTGGTCGACTCAGGTCGACCTCATGGAGCGCTACCCGGAGCACCGGTTCGCTGCCTCCTCTGCGCAGCAGTACAAGTGGCTCGAGCAGCTCTATCCTCCCTTGTTCGAGAAAGTCAAGCGCAAGATCATTTCGGGCCAGTTTCACACTATCGGCGGCCAATGGCTCGAGAGCGATGTCAACATGCCTTCTGGAGAAGCACTGTGCAGGCAGTTCCTCTATGGGCAGAGGTACTTTGAGAGCAGGTTTGGTGCGAGGAACGTCACCAGCTGGCTGCCGGATAGCTTTGGCTACACTGGGAGTTTGCCACAGATCCTCAGGCTTAGCGGGATGAAGTACTTCTTTACCCAAAAGCTCAGCTGGAACAACATGTAAGTTCGTTACCGTGGGCTGCTTTACAGGAAGTCCTGACTTTGTATCTAGTAACAAGTTCCCTCATACGACGTTCAACTGGGTAGGCATTGACGGGTCTCAAGTGCTGGTACACATGACGCCTGTAGGTTTTTGACAGACTGTGTGTTCGCTCTCTGATGTTTCCAGGTGGATACCTATACTGCCCAAGCGACGGTGGAAGATGTCCGCAAGGGTATCACCTCGCACAAAAACCTCGAGGTGACTAACCAGTCCCTCCTTGTATTCGGCAACGGTGACGGCGGCGGAGGACCGCTTGAGGCCATGCTCGAGAACCTGCGCCGGACAAGGGCGGTGGCGAACAAGTACCGCGAGGTCCCGCTCGTCAAGATGGGTAACACAGTCGAGGAGTTCTTCGAGAAGCTTGAGGACCAGACGTGCGAGGGCAAGACCTTGCCCAACTGGTTCGTCCTCCATCCTTGAGAGCATGGTCGAGGCGTACTGAAACACAGGCAGGCACGGCGAGATGTACTTCGAGTTCCACCGTGGGACTTACACGTCACATGGTTCGATCAAGAAGGGCAACCGCAAGTCCGAGATCCTGCTGCACGATGTCGAGGTCCGTGTTAACCGAAGATCCTAATTGCCTGGCTCTGATGTTTCTATAGTACGTCGCTACGCTCGCCTCGCTGTTCGCCACGAAACATGCATACACGTATCCTAAGAACAAGATTGACCCTCTCTGGGAGGATGTCTTACTCAACCAATGTGAGTTTCCTGATCCTGTCACAAACTAGTGTCTGAACTGTACACAGTCCACGATGTACTTCCCGGCTCCGCTATCGGGATGGTGTACGACGATGCCGAGCGCATTTACGCCAAGGTCGCTAAGAATGGTTCTCAGCTGCTCGAGGAGGCAGTCCAGGCGCTCTTCAGGCAATCGGTCCCTATCAACCCCACTGCGCCCTTCACCCACTCCAGCTCGGGTAAGGGTAAGATCATTGCGATCAACACGCTAGGCAAGCCCAGGAGGGAAGTCGTAGAGATCAACGTCAGCGGCAAGGGTGCAGAAGCCCTTAAGAGCCAGACTGTCCAGATCTCGAAGAACGGAGAGAAAGGTTACGTTCTTGTGGACGTTGCTGATGGTGTGATAGGCGAGGTGAAGGGCATGTTCGCTCATGTCAGACCCGCAAGTGCCCACAAATTGCCGAACGGTGACTTTGTCTTGGAGAACTCAAATGTTAAGATGGTCTTCTCCAAGGGTCGCATCATCAGCCTGTACGATATTGAGCTCCAGCGCGAGCTGATTCCGAAAGGCTTGACTGGCGGTCTGATCTACTTCAACGACCAGCCCGGTTACTGGGATGCTTGGGATGTAGAGAATCACCATCTCGAGGCTCCCCACCCGGTCGCCTTTGAGGAAATGGTCATCACTGAGAACGGACCTATCCGCGCTCAGCTAGCCACTACCGTCAAAATTGGCAAGAGCACTGTCGATCTCACCATCTCTCTCGATGCTATTCCTGGGTCGCTCAAGGCAGATGCCAGGTCATCCTTCCGTTTTGACGCTCGTGTCGATTGGCACCAGCGTCACGAAATACTCAAGTTTGAGATCCCGCTTGATATTCATTGTCCCAACGCGAACTTCGAAATGCAGTTTGGATATGTCGGCCGGCCGACGCACAGGAATACGACGTGGGAAGCGGCCAAATTCGAAGTCTGTGGTCACAAGTACGCCGACCTATCCGAATTCGGCTATGGCGTAGCCCTTCTTACCGAAAGCAAATACGGCTATTGCGCCGACGGGCAATACGTTCGCATCTCCTTCTTGCGCGGCTCGACGAGCCCCGACGCAGAGCAGGATCAGGGCGAGCATGCGTTCTCCTGGGCCGTCTACCCCCATGTTGGTAGTTTGGCAGGCGCGGACGTTCCTGGCGTCTCGCGCGAGTTCAACTATCCCTTGCATCGTGAGTCTGCTTCTGTTTGAATCTCAGCCGTACTAAATGAAGTGTTCAGTTCGCTACATCCCTGATGGCGTGTCTCTGTCTAGTGTGTCGCACCTGGTTCGGGAAGTGCCATTTACGATCGAGGAGGCTCCGAATGTCATCATCGACACGGTGAAGCGCGGCGAGGATGACAAGTTCGACAGCCATCACACTGGCCCTACCACAATCGTATTGCGTCTGTATGAGGCATACGGCGGCCACGCGACTGCGAAGCTGCGCATGTCAGTCCCATATTCATCACCTCGTTAGTATCATATTAACTGTGACTAGATCAAGCCTGGTTCCCGTCTCTAAAGCCCACATCACCAACATCCTGGAGGACGAGCTTTCCGTCGTTGAGCTTAGTCGTGCACCATCCACTGGACTTGGGAAAGGCGAAGATACCATCCTTGAGATACCCTTCCGAGGCTTCCAGATTGTCACTGTGAAGCTTACTCTGGACGTTGGTCTACTCTCGAGTGGCTCAAGCGAGTCGGGGTGAGCCTGGTTGGATGCATTTATGTCTACAAGAACGCCGCTGACAACATTATTTAGAAGTCCAACACGAGAGGGGTGGGTAAAGGTAGCGAGAGGCTCTGTATGATACAATGTAACGGGTTGTGGGTTCTAAATACGAAAACATTCACCATGATGTGATGATAGCCATTCTGGACCACAGGAAATACTTCCAGTTACAGCACATAGCGAAAAGCGGGTTTTCTAAATCTAATAATCGCACCTTTCAATGTCGATGCCTCAGGCCTCACGGGTATATATCATGGGTGACTAAAACTTGCAATTTCAAACCTTCGCATGCAAAATAGAAAATTTGACCTCCTATGGAAGCCATTGTTTCAATGAAATTCGACACCGAGTGACTAGTCCTCTATCGTCGTCCATTGGCAAAAATGCTTCGCTTTCAGGTCGTGCTGGGATTCGAACCCAGGTTGTGGGAATGCTTCGGGCCGCTGTCCTGGGTGGTAACCCAGGAGACGGGTTATCAAAATCCCACGTCTTAACCTCTGGACGACACAACCGCTGAAGAAAATGCCACAGCTCAAAATATATGAGCACACCTTTTAGCACAGCCACTGGGGCCTGTCCCTGCCGTCCGTCCATTCCTTACACTGTTTCCACTTCGCTCGACACCAACATGCCCCCGCACTAACATTGTACGATGTTCAGTTGAACCATACTGGCCGTATAACAGGCTTCGCACACGGTTGGCACTCAATTTTCTGAAACTCCCGTATACCACAATATATCTGTCCTACATGGAGCCGACCCTGTCTGCGCTGAATCTCGAACCTAACAATCCTCCGCCATACGATAAGCGTCCCAAATATACAGTACCTGTTATCAAGCATGACGAACAGTACGCTAGTGGACATTTCAACATCGCGTTATTCCTCGCAAAGCACTACTCCCGCAGCCCCGATGATTTGTGCTGCACATCCGAATTTCGAGTTCGGATCCGACCTTCGAACGGCTCTTCGAACGACATGTCGAACTTGGCCGGACCGGACTATTGGAAGGAAGAGTGGACCCTAGACATAGCTTAGGTAATATAGATTAGGAATAGATTAGCTCCGAACAGGAGGATTCGGGTACTTCGGATAGGGAGACTTACTTACTCTCCCTTGCTCACTCTCGCTCGTTCTCACTCTGGTGATCACTTACCCTACTCTTAATACTACTCCTCTACTCTACAGTCATTCTTTACTTTCCCTCTCGGATTTCCTTATTCCGACCGTTGCTTCGAATCCTCGAACCGATCTGGCTACGCTTGTTAACACCTTCGAACCCTCCTGGAACGCGGCTCCTCTTCACTCTCGTCTTCGGATTGCTCGCTCTCGGGCTAGCATTGGCCACGCTCCGGCTAGGGGATTAGGAACGCGTATCGAACCCTCGAATCGACCTTCGGACTTCCCTTCCTCTAGAGACCAATACCGATTGGACTACTACGGAACGAGCAAGCTACTACTACCTAGGCCCGAGCTACCACAGTCGACTCCCCCTCCAGCGGACCTACCCCCGACGCCTCATTGGGAGGTATAGAGTACAGATTACGACGCGCTGTTCCATGGAAACTCAGTTCCACTTGCCAAGATGATCGACGACCACCTGGACAAACGGATCACGACACATGCAAGTAAGATTATACTTCCCCATGTCCCGGGGTGGCTGGATGATCGCAGCGCTGCCTATTTCCGGTGGACACGGCAACTGTGCCTCGGTGTCCCTCTAGAAAACTATTACGCCTCGGACGCACAGCACACAGCAAAAGGGCTCGGATGGCATAGAGGTATGGCACTATTACCCAGGACGTCCTGGGGTTTTACATGTGGAAACACAAGAGCTTCGACAAGAAGTCGTTAAAGGATTCGATTACTTGGGAAAGATGCTTGGATACCATTCGCAAGGCCTGTACCTTCAAGGTAATTGGACCGGGTATGCAGACCTACAGATCGTCGCACTCTTGCAATGGATCGAGCGCGGCGTTCCCGAACTATTCGTGAAAGTGATGGAGAACGGAAATCTGGTGTCACTGTGGAAGGTATCTCAGCCTCTTCTGCATCTTGGATTACAGGGTCGACTTGTTCTTTGAATGCAGTGCGACATGGTCTCATATCGTTTATATTTGACGTATGTATTCGATCAAGCTTTCATTCCAGAGTGATATCATTCATGGCCACGCGCTTCTCCTGTCCGCGGGCGAGGTGTTAGGTGCTTCGCACCACACCTGGGTGTCTTCGGCACGAGTGTCGGCGAGCTCTTGAAAGGATATGTGACATCGACCTCCATCTCGACCTCGCTTTCGCTATCGATGACAAGAACACTCCGTGCATCGTCATCGTCTCCTGTCAGGTCAATCACTGCAGGGTCAATGAGAAACTCGTTGGCATATACCCGCCATAACATAGAACCTCTCACCGGTATGAGAGCGCTTTGCCAGTCCCTGCTTGATCACCTCGTCTACATCCGGTAGCGTGCCGTCTGAAACCGATGGCGAGGCTCCTCTCTGAATCGGTTTTGCAATGGCGGAAACCCGAGACGGAGGCACCGACTTGGTAGGCGATCCTTTTAATAGCCTGCGCTTAGACGGGGACGTCGACACGCGGCCATGTTTAGCTCGAGGTATGGCATTAACAGGTTGCGTCTGCGTGGCGTCCGCTCGAGCATTAGCAAGAGGATCACTGCAAGATACGAAATCATTTCCCTGAGCAAGGTTTCCCGAGGATAGTGGTGTCATAGTCTTTTTGGGTGATGCCAACGCAAATGCAGAGGTACTAGAGCCCTGACAAGGGCTACTCCGTGGGTTCGAGGGAACAGAAGAATTTGAAGGAGGAGCAAACAGATCGGCATCATCCAACGCTTTTAACAGCGCAGAGCGTTTCAAAGCCTCTGGATCAAATTTGCGACTGGCCAACGATCCTGAGATGTTAGGAATGAAAGCACTGGCACGTGAGGGCTGCGGTGTGACAGGGGAGATAGACGGTCCCTCCTCGTCCGAAGAGAAATCAATTGAGATTGGGTCCTGGAAAGATCCTAGAGAAACACGAGCGCGTGGTGTTGATACACTGTTTGAAGTCAAGGATGTGGTATGTGTCGAGCTTGCCAGGTTGAAGGCAGTTGAAGTAGAAAAGCGCGGAGGAGACAGGGGAGACTTCGTATCTACAGCCTGACGTGAGTGGTTCGGATTCGTTTTGCTCATCGTCGGAAGTATCATTGGAAAAGGACGACCGAGGTATGAGGGAGGTGTAAGAGGCGCGTTCATGGGACTTGAGAAAGGTCTCTGCAGTTGCACCGTGGGCGTCTCAGCGCGGGGGTAAATGACAGGAGGCGGTAGGCCTTCCGCCGCTGCGGAAGTTGACTGCGGCCATGTTGCGGGCTCGGAGTGATTTCCAACGCGAGAAGAAGCTGCCCTAGTGGGAGATATATCTATGGATCGCGATAACAATGACTGTGACGCCGGAGAACTGAGGTGCATTGGAGAATGGGGTGCGATAGGACGCGCAGACGGAGAATGTGATGGCAAGTTTGTTCCTGGAGATGGCCGAGAGGTTACTGGCGGCGTAAGATGTCCACTGCGGGAGGAACCTGGAGGCGTTGGATAAGAACCCATTGGCACAGGCCTGAATCGGTTGCTGATGGTCATCCCGACAGAAATGTTCGGATCGGGTCGCGGATGCTGGCTCACAATGTTCATATGGGATTTACCGGTGATCCCAACACGCATAGTCACGCCTCTTCGAGAAGCTATTGTTGAGGGCGAGGAAAGAAGTTCGTCACGATCCATGAAGACGTCTCCGTCCGCGTCTGTCATCTCCGCTTGAGATTGGGAGTCAGAAGAGTCTATATATGCGCATCCGCCGTTCGTCAAAAAGATTCAGAGAGCAAACATTGAGCGGCGAGGCATACCATCTTCTAGGGGTGTCCATTGTGAACCAATCGGGTCGCTGAATGGCTGTCCAAGCGCGCTATTAGATGGTGTCGACTGCCGCATCCATGCTCCAAAAGAACACGAAGCCATTCAACCAGTGTGCGTCACCTGAGATGTATGTCGCGGATGGAAAGAACAGAGATATATGCGGGGTGAAAAATAATGTGGCAGAGACGCAAGGAAAGGGGAAAAACCTACACGGATCCAAAGAGGTTTTTCATGGAGATGAAAATGCGAAGAAGGTGGGTGACGTTGGAGGTGTTTTTGCTGGCAAAGGCGGAAATCCGGAGTCTAAATTAGGCTCTCAAAGGTGGCTGTACGATTTAGCCCTTATACCTCCGACACGCCAAAGTCCGTGTCCGCGCATCCAGACCGTCATCGACAACGCCAACCACAGCATGAGCAATATAGCGGCCCTCAGTTTCCTTGCACTGACATTACTGCCAACGTCCCTGGCTGCATCGACAAGTGCAACAGTCTTCCTTCACCCTCCACCCATTGGTATCTCATATTCCCCCGCGCTCTCCCCAACACAAGGTCATGCTGTTCTCTCTTACCACCTGGGGATCGACCGCTGGGTCGAACTGAGGCAGAGTGGGGAGTGGATATATCAGCTCTTGAGATACGTAGGGAATGATGGCGTGATTGTTGGCGCTGGAGAGGGTGGGATTGCTATCCTGGTAGAGAGCGATCATCCTGAAGGTGCGGTTTCTCTTTCCCCCAATCGACAGCTCTAAATGCATGCCTTTAGAGATAATGCCCAGTGAAAAACCAGCATTCACAATCCCCTTTTCTGTTTCGTACGACACATACTCCTCCCTTTTCTCAACCTACGACTCTCGTCTCTCTTCGCTCGTTTCGCCTTCGGCCTCCTTCATCACAACCTATAACTCCTCTGCCTCTTCTCCCTCTCCCCTTCTATCAGCGCTCGATATGGCAGACTCGCCTGTGGAAGAAGGTTTGAGGAAAATTACAGCGTACGCGGATTGGGTGGACGAGGGAGGTGTCACCGGTGCTACGATTCAGGTAAAGGGGTTGGGTGCGCTGAGGGGGAGCAAGCAAGAAGCATATGATGAAGCCGTGCGGGTATTCAAAGCTGCGCTCAGTGTGGTACGTTTGTCTCCATGCATACATGTGATTTGTTTCCTAAGCCTTCGATAGCCAGCGCTGGCAAATCACAACTACGCCGTGGTCGTACTCCCTACATCCGCAGCCTCTCTATCCCCACCTGCTCCGGTCAGCCAAGCAGCTACTCTCAACTCCTCTTCCTGCTACGCTACCACCCAGGAATGCGATGCAGGTACCTCAGCATGCTCGCAGCATGGTCACTGCGTGAGCACGACCCGTGCTGGCAAGACATGCTACGTCTGCAAGTGCAGCAAGGCGCTCGCCCTAGCAGGCCAACATACGAACTGGGCGGGCGCGGCATGCGAGAAGATCGACATCAGCGGAAGCTTTGCACTCCTTGTTGGGAGCACAATATTCTTGATTGCTATCGCTGTGGGGAGCGTGATGCTGCTTTATGGGGTTGGGGAAGAGATACTGCCGAGCACGCTGTTTGGTGCGACTCCGGGGGCCAAGAGGGACTAGGTGATAGGCGCGGTGAATGGAATTATCGGACAGTTTATCTTACAATCAACGTGCTCACTCTATTGCTCTGATGATGATAAAGATCGGCCCCAAGCGCTATTCAGGCACATCAAGCTCAGAATACAGCCATCTTATAAGGGATGGATGGGGTTACATGAGATAGATAGCCATACAAAGAGCATATTGAGGATAGTCGGCTCTATCGAGGCAAGCTCCAGTACTTAGTCAAGTGGAAGGGTTACCCCAATTCGGAATGCACATGGGAGCCTGAGCCTCAAATTCGAGAAGATGCCCCACAGGCAGTACGTGACTTCCATCGCAAACATCCAGCGGCACCAACACATATATCAGCCAGCACCTTCCAACACCTTCCTTTTCCTCCCTTTCCCCGACGTTGAGGAGTTTGTATATCCATACAATACAGGGCGACAACTCTATGGTCGGGCCCTTTTTGCGCGCGATTCCGGTGAATGCACCTAGTCTCCAGACGTTGGAGGTCGAGGCTCTCGGTGTCTTTCGAAGGAATCAGAAGCGTCTCTCCTCCAAGCCGCGAGGCATGTTTCCATTAACTCTCATGCCAGTGTTCGTTGTTTAAGGCAGCTATATGCGCATAGAAACCCCCTCCCACTTCGAACGAGCAAGCATGCTCCTACGCTGCTCTCAGCTCAACCTGAACATGGCATTTGATTCCTCGACGACGTGAAAACAGTTGTGCGCAAGTTGTAAGGTTGAGCCAGACAAATGGGTCAACTACTGCCTCAAGTACGTGGATGTAGAAGTGAGCCAGGTATGGGAAATGGCCGCTGTTCATTTAGCGAAAGCGGATACACTTTCGTGCTCGCTGGTTCGCTGCCAGGTACGAGTTCAATGGCATGGTCCCAGGGGCGCGATTCCGGAAGTTGATCAAAAGATGCCTTGGACATCCGAATGTCGAAACGTTTCGAGTGGATGGGTGTCACGTGCCAAGAGATGACTTTAAGCGCCCGCACGGCCACCCAATTATGACTTGCCCATGAACTTACGACTGGATTCACCACACGACCCACTGGCAGACCACCAATTATCCACTCTGTACAATCTCGCGAGCGTGCATCATGCCAGTACTATCCCGCTCAACCACCCCCGCTGCAGGGCCTTCCAATCCCACTTTGTCACGTCCTATCCGTCCTCCCGTCTTTCAACCGCCGCGGCCCGCAGGCGGCGGTTCCACATCCATCATCGTCAACCCCTGCCAGCGAGGGAACACCGTTCTGGACGCGATCAAGAATGTACCATGGGAATATGGTCAGATCGCCCCTGATTACCAGGTGGGCGCGACTACCGGAGTGCTCTTCCTGAGCTTGAGATATCATCGGCTGCATCCGGAGTATATCCATACGAGGATCGGGAAGCTCGAAGGGAGGTATATGCTGAGAGTGCTTCTGATGATGTGTGATGTGGTGCGTAACATGGGTCGCAAATGAAATGACACGGTTATCTGATATTGGGACAGACGGAGCACGAGGAACCGATACGCGAGCTGACGAAAGTCTGTTTGATTAACAATCTCACTATTATGGTCGCTTGGACGTGCGTCTTCTCTAATTCAGTTTCTTTCTAATCTCATTTGTTATCGTCAGACCGGAGGAAGCGGGTCTCTATCTTTCCACATACAAACTCTTCGAACACAAGCCGCCTGACCGGATCAAAGAACGCGTAGACAAGGACTATACCTCGCTCCTCCGTGCGGCACTCACCAGTATTCGCGGAGTGAACAAAACCGACGTCACTACTTTATCTTCTAACATCGGCAGCGTGGCAGAGATTGCAGAGGCGAGCGAGGAGGCATTGCTGACTTGCCCCGGGTTCGGGGAGGTGAAGAGCCGAAGAGTTGTCGAAGCGTTCCAGAGGCCTTTCAGGAATAACTTGTTTGGAGAAGCGAGGGATAGGAACCCGTCTGGAGGAGGGCGGGCGGCACAGAGAGAAGAAACGCTCAGCGTTGTCGGAGAAGAGACGCCAACGGAACAGGAACCGCCCTCGGCACAACCGCGGAATACGAGGCAAAGGGCACCCAGTCCTGAATGGGACGACTTTGATTTGGATGACGAGGAAGATGTTGTACAAGCTACGGACCTACCAGCCACCTCGTTATCAACAAGACAGCAGAAGGTACTTGAGGTAGACGACCTGAGCAGCGATGACGAACCGCCCCCGAAACGTACTCGAACGAATGGATTCAGTCATGCGGAGGAGGATGAAAGACCGAGAAGACAAAGCCCGGAGTGGGACATCGATCTGGATCTCAACTGACGGTGTCCGGCCCTTTTCGCATCCATACAACTGTATCAATATCATTCAGGGGTCGAGGGACACCTCAAGTGGCTCGACTGCGTCCATGTGCTGGACCACATCAACGCCTGTTACACCGCCCACAATCACGTCTGCCATGTATACCAAAAATGTATTGACTTGCCAGCAGTGTTTATTGATGGTACGCCAGTTGTTCCGAAATGTTCTGCCGACCCTGATTGGAATTATCGCCCAGGAACGCAGACCTTTCTGTCCACCGTGCACAGTCATGATCCGATTGTGTGAATCTTTTATCTCTGAACTACATAGCCATTACTCTCTTTGTGCCGAACTATTGTCTCTCTCTTTTCCAAATGTCTGAGTCGTTGCAGTTGTTCAATGTTTCCCTCGGCTCGGAGAGCCCGATGTATTCGTATGTTGATGTCTCTGCACGTTTGTGTCTACTAATCACCGGAAACAGTTATTATCCCTTACGAAATGCGGATCCGTCCCAAGTTTGTTTATGTTCATTATAAGCGCCATTGAATACTGACGGGACATCTGTTCGCTGGTAGGGATGGAACGCGATGTATACCGGAAGCGTGTTCAGCAGCTCCGACCAGCAAGGCACGCTGGGCAGTGGAACCCCATACCGGATGACTCAGGCAGATCATGCCGGTGTATCGCTTTCCTTCAACAGTACATCTCTGTCAATTCTTGCTTGCCATATGCTGAGTTTTGATAGGTACTGCAGCGTACTTCTGTGTGACCTATAACGGGACCGCGGAGCTTTACTTCATGTGGGATGATACCCCTGCCTCGAATGGGTACCCAACAGCACCTCAACCCAATTCTACAGCTTGTTCCGAGACACAAACGGGCATCGTCCCTGGTCTTCTGGCTACGCCTTCTTTGGAGTATGGTGCACACACCGTTTCGGTCAACTTGTCCCGGATTGCTCCTGGTGACAGCTTGTTATTCTATGGTGGTGCATTTACGACAGGTGCTACAACAACGTAAGCCATGCGTCCTGTCTGTTTGCGGTCCACTTTGTTCATCTATGTGCGCTCTAGAAACCCTCTTGTGCCCGTGTGGATCGACGACCGGAATCCCAACTGGCACCTGTTATCGCAAGCGGACGTCTGGAGTCAGAAGGAGGATTGGGCAGAAGACTACAACGCAACGCATACATTCACTTGTGCGTACAATGGGGCCACTTCCGCCTCATACACGTTCAACGGTATGAAGTTGAGTGCGGATCCTGCACAGGAGCTTACGTTCCGGCCAGAATCCTACGCTGTGCAGCTTATCGGTATCGTCGACTACAACTCAGTTTTTCCGTTCACCATATCCCTTGGTGATAATGAATCACCGTACATGAATGCAACCAACAGCTGGCGATCAGACAACCAGACGTTTTTCTTTGCTGGCGGCCTGGATCCCAAGACGACGTATACTAGCTGCTCAACTACGATGATTACTACTACTCTGATCCGAACGTCAACTAGTCTTGTGTATATATTGATGCCCTTGTACTATATAAGGACAGTCTCGCGTCTTCCAGGTAAGTACTGCAAGCAGGAGACGGCGACGTGCTAACCGCTGTGGCAATAGTCCTCCACCCACTCCATCTAGCAACCCGCCCAACACATCCTCGACCCCTGGCCCGGGGTCCGACCTCACATCCCCCTCCCTCAGCCGAGGTGCAAAAGCCGGCATCTCCATAGGCTGCATCTTCGCTGGTCTGATCATCGCATTCCTCGCCTGTCCAGCATGGCGTCGCGCAGCCCGACGGTCGCGCCAAACCATCCGGGAAGAACTGACGGACGCGGCAATGAGCGAGGCGATGGATAGCGCTTTCCGGCAGGTGCCGATGCCGTACCTTGGTGCGATAGGTGGTTCGGAGATGGAGAGGACGAGCATCGCTAGCAAGAGTGGAAGAAGTGGTGCGGCGCCTGCGGTTCTGGAGGCCCCGCCTGAGTATGCGTCGCATGATGGTCATGCTTGACTCGCCTAGGAGTCTTGGACTCCCGTTTGTCGCCAAGGACCTTATGACAGAACTATAATCTTCAATAAAATAGGTTGTATAACTCGCATATTTAATGGATACATGACGACAATATCAAGATCCCATGATATATCGGCGGAAGTGAAGTACTGGTTCACCATCAGCTTTTCCGGTGCTTTTGTACAGAAGAGATGAAGTTGTCCAGCAGTAGGTAATCACAACCTCCATCGTACCGCTTTCTTCAGCCGCGAGACTTCAATGCCGGTACGATGAAGGGTATTTATGACAGATGGAGTTGCAGATTACGTCTTAGATGCACGTGCCCTTGCATATATTTGCAAACCGACGCTAACGGTTGGTGGAGATGCACGGGGGGCGACTGTGTATCAATTGCCAAGGAGATGGGGACGAGAATGGGATGGTGGCCGGCAGGGTCACGCGTTGTGTCTGTCTTCCGCCACCCGGATGAACGAACAAGGCGAAGCCGGTCTATCTAGTGTAACGTGTATTGGATGACGAAGTGTGAGAAATTTGGAGGTAAAGCGGTGAGGTATAGTGAGAAGTGGCCGGTGGAGCATGTCACCAGGTGAGAGAGCCTCCACTGGCTGCCAGGGACAAGGGGAAGGAAGGTATGAGCCACCACTGCCCTTGCACGTGAAAGAGTTGAGACCCCAAAAGTCAGCGACTCGGACAAGTGCCGAGTTTAAAGGGAGTATCATTGGTCCCATCCTCACCTCCACCTTGTCATCTCATCATGCTTGCATCGTTTACCCCGCGGGACAACACCAAAAGTACAAGTAGTCCCCGTCAGTTCCACTTGATACCCAGGGCATGTTACGCTCCTCCCTCAACGCCATCACCCGTTCATTACCTCGTTCTATCCCATCTCCCTTCGTAAGATACGCTCACAACATGCCTGCCTCCTCTGAGACCGCCGGTTACCGGGTACGCACGTCCCACATCCTCATTTCACTCCCTAACACTCCCCAGTTCAACCACACCATGATCCGTATCAAGGATCCCAAGGCGTCCCTCCACTTCTACTGCGACGTCCTCGGCATGGAGCAGATCGACACCATGCAGGGCTCGGACTTCACCCTCTACTTCCTCGCCTACGACACCTCCAAGGGCGCAGACTCTGCCGAGGATAAGGCAAAGTACCGTTCTTCTCGCGAGGGTGCGTCGTCCCCCGTCTTCATCCATTCTCTTGCTCCGTGCTCACCTGACTCCTGCAGGCCTCCTCGAGCTCACGCACAACCACGGAACCGAGTCCGACCCCAACTTCAAGGGGTACGCATCCGGCAACGCCGAGCCCGGACGGGGCTTTGGCCATACCTGCATCTCGACGCCCAACGTTGAGGAGGCGTGTGCGCGTCTTGAGCGCCTGGGTGTCCCGTTCCAGAAGAAGCTGACGGACGGGAGGATGAAGAACATCGCTTTTGCTCTGGACCCTGATGGGTGAGTTGTCTCATGCCTAAGAGTCTTGGCTGGGCTGAACAGGAATGGGGACGTATATAGCTACTGGGTCGAGGTGAGCCCTTTTTCTGCGCTTCTCACGACATTTTTTAATGCGTATCCTAGATCATCGGCTACCAGGAAAGGCCCTGAAACGTCCGCTCGGCTCTCTTTCCTCTCTAGGTGCTAATGGCGCTCGCGTTCTCTTCGCTCGGGTTGGAGGCGTAATCAATCTAGGGTGTGATGTAGCTGAACAGTATGCGAAATGGACGAATTGAAGTGGTTGCGCGGTGTCGTCCGTAAGATAAGAAGTATAAGTGGTTAGAGATACAGTGCAGGCGATGTTCGTCAGCCTTGCGAGCCGTGTTGAGCTGCACTTGGCATGCGTGCTGGCCGATCAGGTCCAGAGACGCAGCAGGGAGATATCATGAATTCTTCAGACTATCCTCCTCAGCTTCAACAGGGACATCCAACCCCACCCTCCTAGCCGTAGCCTTCACCCTCTCCTCCGGGGTCATATCATGCAGCGGGTTATACCTGACGAGCAATTCCTGCCAAACCAAGTCGCTCAGCATTCGCCCGTTATCAACAGGGGAAAACGGACGACGTACCTCGTAGGACCTCTGGCTGTGAAGGAAGGTGAGCGCGTTGAGAGCATCTTGTTGCCGCTGGGCTTGGGAGATTCGGGGATTGGTGAGTGCTTCCCGGAGGTGGGTGATGATCGCTCGGGATCGTTCTGGTCGGGGAGACACTGCCTGAGAGGAGGTGAGCTCAGGCAGTAGGTTGAACATAAAAGGAGCATACGGATTTGCGCAGTTCACATAGGATCGAGCGGTAGAGGGATGTCGTTGAGCTCATCTCTGTTCATGTACTCCTCAGAAAGACGCAGAGAGAACAACCAATTCGAGTACGTGGCTGTGCTTCTTAATTAAAGTGTCGATCACCCGATCACTTGGTTGAGAGTGTACGAATCCTGGGCGGCAAGCGGCCACGGTGGCCGTTTTGGCCGGCGGCTGTGCACGGACGTATACTATTGCCTCCAGTAGCTTCCATCAAAGAAGATAATTCCGTTTAATCTCGTTTTGCTCCACTTTGCCTCGTTTATCCGGTTTGGACTTAGCAGTTCTAAAAAAACAGAACCGGCTCTTCCGGTTTTTCTTAACAAAAAGAACCGGGTCTTCCAATTTTTCCGGTTTTGCAAAAATTGTGTTTTTAAAAAAAATTGAGCTTAAGATGCACCGTAACTTACTCATATTGTCAATACTCAGGACAGGAAAGGGGAAGAAT